TAATAATAATAATAATAATAATAATAATAATAATAATAATAATAATAATAATAATACTAACAATATTAAAAATACTAACAATATTAAAAATAATAATAATAAAAATTATAAAAATAATTTTAAAAAAATAATATTAATAATAATAAAATAAATTTAAATTAATGGTACAAAATTAGTAACAATTTAAAAACGTATATAATTATATATAAATAAAAAAATTAAAAAATAAATAGATAGTAAAATACAATAAAATATTTAAATATTCAATTTAAACAAAACCTGAATAACATTCACCCACAATTGCTTCATCTATGAAGTTATTTTTGCGCAAATTGCTTTCATAATTTCTCCTTCCTGTTTTTTCAAAGACAAATTCCGTTTGTGCCCTGCCCCAAGAGCCAATTAGACAAGCACAAAGCCAGCTCTTAATCTGCATATGCAAAACTAATTGAAATCAAAAGACACAGAGAGATGCTCACAAATCAACAAAAATGGCAAAAATTGTCAATTCGCATAAACAAAAAGAAAAACAGAACAAAAGCAAAACCCAAATGGAAAGCCCAAAAAGGTTGGCTGGCAAAATTTAATTTTCCAGTTCAGTTAAATAACGATTATTTTCATTTGATTGAATTTGAATTGATGCGTTTTCAACAAATTCAATTCATTTCAGTCCATCCAACCATCTAACCATCCATCCATCCAACCAGGCAACTAAACCAACTCATCCATTCAGCCATTTATTCATTCATTCATTCATCTATTCATTCATAGGCGCTTGTAATGCTGCTGCATTTTGACCTTCTTTTAGCAGCGCATTTTTCATCAGCTCACACTCGCATGTGTGTGTGTGCGTGTGTGCGTGCGTGTAGTGTATTATATGCTAACAGTTTCTGTTATGTGTGGCTGTATTTCGAAATCGTTCCATTTGCGTCACAGTTGTCCTTTTCATTAGGTCCCTCAAGCCCACACACACGCACACACACACACACAAACGTTTCGCTTCGCTTGATCCTGTACTAAATTTCTGTTGGGCCGTAAGTAACTCAAGCCCAAAAGGCGCTCGAATTGCGAGGGCAGTTTCATAACATATTTTATTTAATAACGATAAATGAATAAAGTCATAGATATTGTGTTTAATAATTATAATAAATATAAGCATATATACTATATTTAATAACTATACATATATGAGTATGGGAATAAAATTATAAATGAGTTTTGCTCATCAATTAAAATTTATTTTTACTTTTTTATATTTTTGCATTTTTTGTAACACATAAAAACGGTTTATTTGTTCACTTTTAAGGTTTTTTTTTTTTTTTTTATTTATTTACTTTTTCTAGACAAGCAAGTTTTGTTTTGTTTTTTTTTTTTTTTGTGTTAATTATTCTTCTTTAGTAATTATTATTTCTATAGTTTTATTGTTTATGTATTGAATTATTAATAATTCCATTTTTATAATTTGTTATTTTATTTTATTTATTTATTTTTTTTTAGATATTAATAATTATTGTTTTTACTAATACTTTTTTTCTTGTTATTATTATTATTATTATTTTTTACTCTTCTTGTTTATTATATTTTTTTTTTGAACTTCCGTTTCTTAATTTTTTTTAATTTTAATTTAATTTTTTGTAGTTTGTGACTTTTAGTTTTTGGACTCGACTAATTTTTTTTTTTAATATTTTTTTTTCAACTTTTAAGATATATTTAAGTTGTTTTATTTATTTATACATATTTTCATGCTTTTATTTATTATTATTATTAATTGTTCAATTCTTATTCATGCATTTAATATTTATACATATTTTCATGCTTTTATTTATTATTATTATTATTAATTGTTCAATTATTATTCATGCATTTTATTATTGACTCTCGTGGTTTCGTCCGTCTTTTAAATATTTCTTTCGCTTTGCTTTCGGCTAGAATACTTCAGACTTCTCCAATTTCTTAATAAACTAATGAAAATTCTTTCATTCCATCTATCATTATGCTTATATGTATGTATGTATGTATATGTAGTACTTCACTAAACTTAACTGAATTGCGCTGAACTGAACTGAACTGAATCAAACTGAATCGAGCTGAACGAAGCCAAATAGTGCAATGAAAAGCGAGGCAGCCCGCTATTTTGTTCGTTTGCTCAACTCTGAGTGTGTGTGTGTGTGTGTGTTTGTACTGTGTGTGTGTGTGTGCGGGATGCTTGTAAGTTCATTAAGAGACCCCATTGAACAAGTGCTGCTGCCAGCCCCTGCTTCGTCCCCTTTGGCAAGGCTCAACGAAATTTATGCAAAAATCGTTGTTGTTTGCCATGCAGCAGAAATTTTTCAATTTCAGCCAAGTCATTTGGCCGTTTTCATGGCCATTTTAGACGGTTCCTTCTGCTGCTACTGCTGCTGCTGCTACTGCTGCTGTTGGCTCTGTCATGAGCAGCAACAATTAACGTTGCGTGTCCTGTGGACGTGTCCTGTGTCGCTGCAAGCTATGCAATGAATATTTCAAGGATTGCTGGTTTCAAGACCTCTTTGGACAGCTAAACAAAGCAACAACAAAACTAAGGACTCGAGTAAAATTTTATATGTGTATGACACAGAGCCAGTAAAATGAGGAAAAAGGAAAATGATGGCACAAGCGCGAGTCAAAAGAAAAATTTGGCTAAATTTTCTCGGAAGTTTTTATAATGAAATGAAGCGCACTTAAGTAAAAGCACGAAACAAAAAGAAATTAACAAGCACATAATAATCTAAACTTTTTCTCTGCTTTGGGGCGTGGCTATTTACTCTTTTCCTTATTTCATTTTTTATTCTTTTGCTTTTGCTGCTTTCATTTTGAGCCAAGTGCCCATCATTTGGCATTCCATTTAGCTGACCAGCATCAAATGAGCTATTAAGCCCGATGAACCCTAGCCAGACACTTTTCCCTGACACTTTTTCTCTTGTCTTTATGTTGTTGTTGTTGTTGTTTTTATATTGGCTTCTTTTTCTTTTTGTGGCAAAAGGTCAAGAGGGTAGAGGTTGGCTTTTTTCGATTTTGGGGCAAAGGCAACAAAAAAGAATGGTAAATGAAAGCCAGGCAACTGAAGAGGAGGCAGAGCATACGAGTGGCTACCCTTGCTAAAAGCAGTTGAGACAGTGACGTTTTGGCTATAGAAGCTATACAGATCTATATATACTTGTATTTATATTATATACCAAATAAGAGTATTATGTTATACTCCTGATATAGTATATCAATTGCTGACCAAACGAGTGTGGTATGATTTCAGTTGACTCTACTTCAACAGCTGTTTAAGATATCTATAATTTCCAGCTGTTAAAATATTCTATAAGGTTTGTCATTCGATTATGAATCATATAATGAATCAGGCAAGACTCGGACAGAGCTAGAAGGCAACATTCGACTGGACTTTGAGCTCCCAAAACAACTCATTCAGAATGAAATCTTATATGACATATTCCCAGCAAAAGCAATAACAGTTGTTTTTATGTAAAATGTAACTTCTAAATAAAACCAGAAACAGCTTCCTATCACAAATCAATTTACTTTTATTATAATTTCTTTTGCTATTGCTTTTAAATTAATATTAAATTTTCTTTAAAATAACTGAAGATTTCTGCATAGAAGATCAAAGGAATATAACACAAGTGTAATAGTTTATACATTTTCTTCTTCTTCTTCTGCTTCTTCTTCTCCTTCTCCCTCTTCTTCTTCTCCCACTTTTTCTTCTTCTTCTTCTCTTTCTTCTTCTTCTATACTTCACTTAATTCACATTTCATCATCATCCTTTTCATAGAGTATATCAAAGCGCAGTCAAAATATAAAACTTTTGGCCTCGATTGAAAATGAAAAGTCTAAACGGAAACGGAAATGACAGCCTAGTCGAGGCACCGAATCAGCCGCAGACCTTACCACACCGCCATACCCTCCTCTGTCTCTCTCTCTCTCGCTCTCTCTCTCTTTCTCTACTTGTTTTTTGCTCTGCTCAACCTTTACAGTCCAGCGATTGCCATTGAAACGCAATGAGCCGTTTGCTTTCGTTTGCTGCGGTCTGCGGACTGAAACGCCCAGCCCATGCGCCCTGCACCTCACTCACTCTCCCTCTCTCTCTCTCTCTCTCTTTCTCTCTCCTTGCCACTGCTGCTGCTGCTGCTCTACCGCAGCACCTTCCTGCCTCGCTTCCGCTGGCCCAGCCATTTGGATGTTGTGCAAATGGAGTTCTAAAGCTTAATGAAGACATTTCACTTATGTGTGTGCTCTGTGCTTGAGTTTTTCTCTTAGTAGTTTTTCATGTAGCGTGAATAAATGAGTTTTCTTTTTTCCACATTTCTGTTGGCCGCAAAGTGAGCGTAATTAATAATGCACTAAATGATATTATATTCATTTGCCGCGCTCTCTAATCACATTTGGCACAGAGAAGGTGCAAAATTTATAACAATTATCTAGATAATGCATAGAGATTTTAGGTTGGGATCATAATATATATGTATATGTATATAAGCAGGGAGGTTTTATGGGAGCATGAATCATTTAGATTAACAGATGCTTGTAATTAACATTTATGGCTTCGTATATGGTTTAGCTTATGCTGGAGCTGTTAAGCAGTCTCTGTTTATGTTAAGCAGCTGTTTCATTAACAGCTGTGCATGGGTATGTTAACGAGCTATTAAACAGTTTATTTTCATGTTATTCATGCTATTGTTATCTGTTATCTTCATTCATTGAATTCGCAGATGTTTTTGTTTAACATTTATGGACACAAATGTTCCTTTTGTTATGCAAAAGAACTGTTAAATAATAAAAGAGCTGTAATAGTAATGTAATGCAGCTGTTAACTTGATGACTTTGCATTAGCATTTATTTTCTGACTTATATTTATGACTTATATACATATGTTATGTGAGCTTTAATACTGTTCTTTAGCTGTTAATTAACAGAATTTCCAATACAGTTAATAGATCTCTACTACTGTCCGCATTTAATGATTTTTTGGGGCGATTTATAGCTGAGCTGCACTCTTCTGCTCTTTTTAACAGAAGTTCTTGTTTAACAGCTGTTAAGTAATTAAATTAAATATGGCTCGTAAAGTAACTTTTATTAATGACTAAACTCTTTAATAGACAGTTGGTTCTAAGCACGGAAAAGCGAACTGAAAGTCTGATGAGCTTTGTTTCTGAGCATAAGTCAAGTTGTTTAATAAATAATGGAGAAACTGAACAACTTTTTTTGCTATTTACAGCAGCTGAAGAAGCGCGGCGAAATAATGCTTCTGTTAAAGTAGATGAGAATGGGGTATTTGACGAAGGAAAAAGAGAGAAGATTGATGTATGTGTGTATGTCTATCTACCAATCAATCTGTTGCTGTCCTTGTAAACTCTTGTGCGAATAACTTTGACAGTTTGTCAAGTAAATCTTATTGTTGTGTCTATTAATATTTCTTAGCCATATTAAATTATATTTTATACCAAAATCTCTCTCCCTCTGTCTCTTTTATATCTTGCCTATATAAACAAAAAGCTCTCATAAAACAATGTTGTATCTGCATAAAAAGTTAGCAATAATAATCACATTCCCATTAACATATCTCAATTGCAATTAACATTAACATTTACATGAAAACTTTTGACCATTAACAGGCCGCATTATCGTGGCCATTAGGCTCGTCTAATATAAGCCATGAAAATTCCAATGCTTACTTAATCGTGAATTTATTTAAAATCAAATATTCACTCATTACATATTCCCAGCCTCTTCTGCCCCTCCCTCTCTTTCTCTATCACGCTCGATATCTCTTCCAATTCAACCCTTCGCACGTTTGCTTTAATCGGCTTATTTTGATCGAGCTTAGTGGAGCCATTAAATTTAATTTAGTGCGCATATTTAATTGATTTTCGAATTGAAATCGTTGTGCGTTTTTTTTCTGATTTGTTTTTGTTCTTGTTTTCTTAATTGACCCAATTAAGAAATAAGCATAAAAACAGGCAACAAATTAATTATAAGCAATTAACATGGCCCGATTTATTGGGGCGTGCATAATGAAATGTAGCCAACGTATTTGCAAATGCTTCAGAATGTAGCTGAATGTTAGCCAGCTGCCCATGCCAGCTTTAACATTCACATTACATTACGAATTCGCAGCGAGACGAGGTCATATTTCAGGCTACTCCTACAAATGTGGAGCTGCTGCTCCTTTTTGGTCTGCGGCCTCCTGCTCTCTGGTATCCCCTGTCGGCGCCTCGCCAAGCGTACAAAACAACTCATTATAAAGCGAAACAAATTGCGGCTAACATTTCACAGCGTAATTTCAGATACAGCTATGAATAGCGTCTGCTTTGGCTCCCCTGTGTGCCCGCCCTGCTCCATTCAAGCGAAAGACAATGGCAATGCGAAAATAACGCTCTGTTTGTTTGTCTTTTAAAGTTACATCGACATTTTATCAGGCTTAGCTGGCAAATGACACGAGCTGAAATGAAGCCAATGAATCGCAAGATTAATCCAATGGAAATTGTTTACATCTTGATAGTTGGAATTGCTTTAGTTTATATAGCAAAAATTTACATATATTTTGATATATGATTATTATAGTATTATATGTAGGTATGATTAGAAGTTTAGTGGCTTTAATATCATATGAGTTCTATATGGAAATGTTACAAACTGATGAAAGTGTGTTAAAAGCAATTAACTGATTAATTATAATTTCTGTTCACAAATATAATTAACTCTGTTTTAACTAAATCTTTATATTTTCTGTTCACTTACTCCTCCTCAAATTTTTCCAAAATTTTGCAGCCAATGTCATTGAGCTTCCTTTTGTGCTTGGCAGCTAAAATCCAGAGCTTGGCTGGCTTCCAAGTCATTTGAGTTATTTAAACTGCGTTTGCGGTTAAATTAACGCGATTTATATGAATTTATCGCACTGCAAACGTAGCTGCGCGTTCCACCACCCCTCCCCCAATTTCCCGCTTTGCCGCTGGCTTTGACTTTTGTCTGTGTGTATGTGTTTGTTTGGATTTTTTTTAGCAGTTAACTTGTTTCCATTTCCTCGCCTTTCAGTTGACTGTGCTGCGCGTGAAAATGAAATTTTTCAACGCTTTTACCTATTTTTGTACCCTGCAGCAGTTGGAAAATGGGTGAATGAATACACTTCACTATGATGGTGTTTAGTTCGTATTGATCTTTATTATT